TATTGAGAATATATTGGCGTCCTTTAACAGTGCCTCGTCATCCAATTGCTCATCTGCCATATCCAACTCGCTACTGTATCTACTGATGGCGAACAATCACTTAATAGCTCCACTGCCTTGATCATGTTGCGGCCATTGTCTGTTGTTATTGAGTATATTTGCTCTTTTCTTATATTGAATGTCTTTAAAATACTTTCAACATGGCCACAAACATTTTCAGATGTTTGGGATTCCTTAAGCTAAATTAGTCCGAGCGTCTTCACACAAATATCAACTAAAAAGTAATATTGGACATTTACGCCTAACATGCCCGATTCAGCCTAGTGACTGTATCTATTTTCAGGCATAGCACTCGATCCGTCATTGTTGCCATGCTTTCTAATTTTATTTCGTACTTTTCATCTACCAAGCCAATAACATCCATAGACGCAGGCATTTGCAGGCCACTAAAAATCTGGCTTGTAAGAACTTCGAAGCTCTCTAAATTGAGTACGGAAAACGGCATTTTTTGAGCGGTCACGAGATCAACACATGCATCCTTTACCTCACTTGGGCCTGAAAATTTAACTTTTTTTCTGGACTTTCACTCTTCTTATCCGTCAACTCGCTTGCATATTCTTTGTGGTGCTGCTGTTCCAAATGATGCTGTAGAATGCATGCATAATTTCCTTTGAAACACGCTTTACACAGTTTGCACTCCGAAATATTACTTTCATTGTTAAAAGTACAAAAATTACACGACACACAATTACGCTTGCGACCCATGTTAACAACGCGATAAGAATGACCAAAGCAACTGAAACAACAATGCAACTAAGGTTTGACCTATTTTTTTTTTGAGGTTTTAAGTTACCGCTCTACGCTTGGGTAGAGGGGAATTATTTGGCCGCCCGCCTTAACAAAGGGGAAATCGCCACGTCGAAATATGTAACTTGTTACAGTTTTGCTCCAATACTTACCTGGCGTAGAGGTTATGTTCCCCACGTGCTTGCAGTGTGCAAAAGGTTTGACTTAAGATAAGCTTTAAGATAAGCTTCATAAATACATAATTCATTTCATATGCATAAAGATAAATACACACAGCTGTGTTCAATGAAATAGTGCCGCAGCTTACCACTTTAACAACTCTTTTTAAGGCTCTTTCCGTATTTCGAATAAAGCAATTGATACCTTTTTGAATAGACTGGAATGTAAGCATTATAAACCCGAAAAAACATTATCACATTTGCATTACATCTTCTTCTTTCGTATCAAAGCATGACTTTATCAAACCATTCCAGGTGACACATTCATGAAAAAGAGCTAGATGGACTGAAAAATTAAATTCATTTCTACATGTTTATGATGGAAAGCTGCGCACTACTATTTCATTGAACACAGCTAACCCACCCCTTCCCGCAGCTTATATTTGTTTTTTCCACATTCTCTCATTCACACTCTGCTTCTGCAGAGTGCGGCCTCTGCCTCTCGAGTTCCTCTGCCTCTGCCGGGACTCTGCAGTGTGAGGCTCTAGGGGAGGTTGGCGAGCTAAAAGAGTGTGTTGGCGTGAGAAGAGTTGTAGATGTAGATGACAGAAGAAGAAAAAATGTAAAATGTAACTAAAAACCACTAAGGTACAGATGTAGTACTGAGTACCGGGTATGAAAGTTGTGACGCGTAAGAAGCGTCTTCAAAATTGTGGATACAGCAGATTGCGGGGCAGACGGGAGCGGGGCGAAATTTTGAAATACACTTGCAACATTGTGCGCAAACAGCCATCTTGATGCAAAGTTTGGTGGCTCCACCTTTTATAGTCTCTGAGATCCAAGCGCTCAACAAGAGGGACGGAAAGACAGACATGGCTCAATCGACTCGGCTATTGATGCTGATCAAGAATATATATACTTTATTGGGTCGGAAACGTTTCCTTCTGTGTGTTACATAAATTCACTTTGTACAAAAATACAATATACCCTATTTACTCTTCGAGACCGGGTATAAAAATACAACATTAAGAGCACATCCAACTTAGTTTTGGGTTCCATTATACCTCCTTTAGTTTTAAGTCAAACTCTTTGGTCTCCCCTACTGGACCGAGCAATGATTTCTTCGACGCTCCAAAAACAAAAGTACCGCTATGTTCAAAAAGTTATTTTCTCTAAATACTCAATATATAAAGCTAAGCTTACTGATGGTGACTTTTAAAATTTTTTTTTTTATTTTAACCTTTATAAAATAGCACTACTATTTTTATGAACAGCAGTTTTCATGGGTATGTAAACATTGTATGTATTTGCCAAAGGTCATGAAAAACAAGAAGATGGAATACAAATGTAATGGGGGTTCTTCTGATTCGTATTGTTGAATTTGAAAGATTGGAAGTGTGAAAGTGGTGAAATGCGGCACTACTATTATTATGAACACAGTGTATATTTTTAATCAGAATCAAGACGATATAAGTACATACATACATACATATATACATATGTAGCTATGTCTATCTGCCTATCCAGTACCTAGTTCTCAGAGACCATAAGAGCTAGAGCAATAACAGACTGTTACAATGTTATCAAAAACATTTAATATTACGGTAAAATCTTATTTGGAACGTTACATTACCAAGTGATCGAGTAGTTTAAACTACAGTTACAAAATATTTGAATATAAGTATATACGGTATTTAAGGGATAAAAATAGATGTAATGTAAAAGTTTGTTTAGCAATATTCGATTACCGAATATGTACATATGTATGCATGTATGCATGTATGTATACCTGTGGTCAAAAATAATGATTAAACTAAAACAAATTTTGGGGTTTCTTTTTTGTAAGTAATATTTTATAAGTAGATAAGAAGTTTAACCTAATCTTCCTTCCTTGTGGTACTTTTACTTTAACGAGGAGAAACGTTGTGTAACGCGAAGGATCTTACATACATACATATGTACATATATGCAAACATACATATACTTATGTATTTATGTTGCATGTACACTGATTTTTCGAATTTTAAATTTTTTCTTCATCTGTCATCTTTATCTACAATACTTCTCACAATAATACGCACTGCACGAGACAGCAAGAATATGCTTAGCTGTGAAGGGGGTTAGCGGTTAGCCACTGAAAATGTACTTCTTCATTCTGGCTATTCATGATCCAATCTTGTCCTTATTCAAGGATCTGATAGATATGGACATTCTATACCGAACTGCATTTTTGGTTCTGCATTATTAAATATGCGCATTTGGTGAAGGTAAGTTTTTAAAAAGGAGGTGGACGAGAAATGTAGGGATTACGAGTCAACTATTTAATTCGATTACCAAACCAACAAAGTTTCTAAGTGAGAGAGACTTTATGAGACCTTACCTGAATCCACAAAATTAAAAGCACATACGATTATGTAAACACATAAATCCTTTTCTGACCGCGAAAAAGCTTCTGTACACTTTGATAACGTGCAGTTTGGCTAGACTTGGTTGTGGCAAAGCAAAGCTAGTAGAGATAGAACCTAACACTCAATTATTGATGTTTTCTTTTTTTATAAGTTTTTTTTTCAATCAAATTAAATTAAACAAAAATGAATTAGCAACGCTATGTTTTCGTCTTTGGGATTTTTGTTTCGCTAACCTTACCGACCTCAACAAGATGCATATTCTATTTGCAGGTTCGTAAATATCCATTAATTTATTTGCCTTTTGTTTTTCGTTTATTATAATAAAGCGTGACAACAGATGTATGATTCACATATACATAGCTTTTTATAGCATCTTATACATTTATGCAGTTTCTCTGTGTGTGTTACTCATTTTTGTTTATATCTATATATATATATATATAGGCATTTATGCAAATTGTTTACTAACAAAGGTACCTAAGATTTGCATTAGATGTGATGCATTGAATTATTCCACTATCCGACAACGAAAGACGATCGATCGTTGCAAGTGTAGCGACTTGCGTCCTCCACCAGTGACTGTGGACAAGCTCCGGTGAGTCCCAATGGGGATTTTTTTACCGTTTTATTTTATCTTTGGTGTTGTTTACTTTTCGTGAAATGAATTACATTATATAAATGTTGTTTTTGTTGGACTTGACGATGCGACTTTTATATAAATGTATGTATTACTTTATGTATTTATATATACTTTTATTTATCCTTTTTTGTTGTTGTAGGGTCAAGTGTATTAGAGTAATTAGACACGAAAAATAGGCGTCATAATGAAAAGAACAGCACTATGCGCCTGACTGATATCGTATCTGTTGCTTTTGTATTGTTATATTTGTGGTATTCTTTGTTTTTATTAATTGCATTTATGCTTGGTGGTAAAAGTAAATAACACAGCGGATCATATTCAAAATTAAAGTTAGTCCCTTCCATAACTTTTGATTGAAACTAAACAGAATGCGTTTTATGGCCATGAGCAAATAAAATATAAAAATCAACAAAAAACGAGAAGGGACGTGTGAGACGCTTCCTCCGCGTCACAACTTTTATACCTGGTACTCAGTTAGTATACCTCTTTATTGATATTTTACAATTTTTCTACAAATGTCATCTACATCACTTCTTACGCCAACACACTCGTTTAGCTCGCCCCCCCCCCCCCCCCCCCCCCCCCCCCCCCCCCCCCCCCCCCCCCCCCCTCCACTAGAGCCGCACACTGCACGTAGCAGAGTGTGGAATGAGAGTATGTGCAAACAATACAAAAAAGCTGTTGGATGGGGTGGGGGTAATGATCCAATCAGATCCTAATTCGGTGATCTGATATATATGGTCATTCCCTACGGAATGGCATTTCTAGTTTTCTCTTATCTTCAAAATTGTGGCTACAGCAGATTTTTGCGGGGGTGGAAGGGAGCGGGGCGAAATTTTGAAATACACTGGTATCAGTGTGAGCATGGTGGACAAATTTAGTGGCTCTACCTTTTATAGTCTCCGATGCTGATCAAGAATATATGTATATACTTTGTGGGGTCGGAAACGCTTCCTTCCGTGTATTAATTTTTTTCCAACAAATAGTTACTCTTCGAGTACCGGGTATAAAAACGCTAAAAAAATTTACATGAAAACATAAAGTGAAGCAAAAACAATCTCTTGAACTTAATTCACGTCTCACACGTTTCAATTTTTACGTTTAGGTTTGCATAATTTCACGAGGAACCCATTTGGAATCGGCAGCGGTGGCAGCGACATATGGAAAGGTCCCTGTCCAGCTAGTGGTCTGAACTAGAACTATAACTTAAAATCAATACATACAAGTTACATATGGTACAAGCTAGAGATTTACTGCCGAACAAAGATAGTTCCGTTTGGATCGATAAATACAGCGAGAATTTATTTGAACTAAACAACAAATATCCACATACATCCTCTGTGCAGTCTCTGCAATCTTTGCAATAGAGATAGACGTAAAGATACATTTGTGTATTTATGTATGTATGTATTGAGATATATTAAGCTTTTATGTAATCTGCTCTTTAACAATATGACTCGATTTAGTATAAATATTACTGGCTTTAGCGGATTTTCCAAGTGGATTCGATTCGAGATAAGTGAGTATTATCGCAGTGGGGAGAACTGTCAGTTATGTATTTCCTCCGAAAATATTTAATATGATATTTACTTCTATGCATGTATACATACATTTTTTTTATATTTGATCTATATATCGAAATCTTATAATTTATCTTCTTAAGCTTTTTCAGTGGCTGAGATAGTGTTTTCAGAAACGCATCGCAATTAAAACAATTGAAATAATAGTTTAGAATACAAACTAATCATTAAATGATAATTTATATATGCATGTAGATGTACGGTATAAACACAGACAGAAAGATAGAGCGATAGATTGGGTTCCTTTGCAGTTACATCGCTTATGTTGGGCAGAGCACCTTTAGTATGTAGTCCGTGAGAAGAGCCGGCACCGTCGGGCTGTCCTCATTTATGGCCTTGAGTACTGCGGGCGGAAGAAACATGAATGCTGTAAAAATTGCGGCTCTCCCTTGAACTTACTCTTGATCAGGACCTGTAGGGACTGATTGTTGGGCGTACCGTTCTCTAGGTGATACGGAATAACAGTGGTCAAGTATTTGGGCTCGGGACCTGCAAGTGTCAATCAATATAATTAGCAATTAAAAAGGGTCTAGTCGATCTTCCGAATATGGCATAATCGAACCCAGCTTAATTTGACCTGTATATGTATATTTACTTAAGTACATATATGTTGTATTTAAATGCTACATGTACATACATACATACTGGGTACCCAAAATTAGAGGGTACAATTAAAACCGGGCGATACATAGACATGTGATTCCTGATATCTACTCACGAAAGATCCGCTGTTTTTAAAATGTTCTGGCCTAATATGTTTTTCTGGTTTTTCTTAAAACTGACTTTAAAATCTAGTATAAACAAGAGCAGATACGTTCATAAGCAGATCATTAGGCATTCCCGGGTGTGCGTTGTAAAACGAATAAAATCGAGTTGGAAATGCCTGCTTTCGACTGAATAAATTGTGTATCTGCACTAACGATAGAAATAGCTAGAGAATACGAGATTCACTGATTCACGTTCCCCCACCTACCCTGGAACTTTCCACGCTTCTTCTCCACGTGGTATTGTCGACGCTTGTTTTGGACGGCCAGCAGCAGGGAAATGAATGAGTTCTTTAGCTCCTTCTCGTACTCGAGCTCGTCACGCAGCGCCAGTTCGTTGATAAGAGTCTCACTTAATTCCTGAATCAGCACCTCCATCTCCATGTACAGCTCGTTCAACTGTGTGGTGGTCAGATATTGCAGCTCTTATGGTTTCAAATATTAGTATCAAATTTCTAAATTAAATTCAATTTGTTCTTACTTTCTGCATAGAGGGGCGCCCCGAGCACTTCGCGCGCCTTTTCTATGACCTCCGACTCGCAGGTGTCAGGCTCGTCCAAAGGACTCTCCGCCTCATCCATGATGTCGTCAATCTCCTTTATGACCTCTTCGACCGTTTTAATGGGCTGGTCGTCAAGATCCCCGTTCAGTCCGTTCAGGATTAGCGCGTGCATGTCCAAGTCGTTGGCTACCGAGTCATCCTCGCTGACCAGATCGTTAGACTCGTCCCCGCCTGGAGCGTGTGGATACGAGTGCTGGTGTTTCTGGAGCTGGTGCTGATTGCGGTGATGCTGCTGCTTTGCGTGGCTTTGGCCCAGGTTGAGTGTGGGCATGTGCATCTGACGGGTATACGACTTGGACCAGTCGATAGGCAGAATGTTTCCAAAATTTCCCGTGATGGTCCACCACATTCTGAGGAGAAAAGCCGAAACTTCGAGTTAGGTTTCGTTTGCGGTATTTGAAACTTAATATACTTGAATATACAATATTATATAAATACGTCCATTGTACATAAGTATCGACAGTGGGTATCGCAGTGGTGGTATACCAAATCTCTATACATTTTTCCTGAACTTTTCATAAGAGAAACGAGTAGGAACGTTTGTGAGACGCTTCGTACGCGTCACAACTTTTAAAACCCGTACTCAGTATATATAGTATACTATAGTATAGTCAGTATATCTTTACCTAAGTGGTTTTTCAAATTTTACATGTTTTCCACACCTATCATCTACATCTACTACAATTCTCCCGCCAACACGCTCTTTTTGCTCACCACCCTCCCCCAGAGCCTCACAATGCATGGGGCAGAGTTTGCGAGCGAGAAAGGCTTAGCAGCAAGAAACAAGCAGAAGCATTGCAAATTAATGTCTTCATTCTGGCTATAGTCCCAATCTAATTGGTGATCTGATATACATGGTTATTCCCTACGGATTTGCATTTTTAGATTTCTCTTATCTTCAAAATTGTGGATACAGCAAATTTTCGCTATTTTCTCTCTCTTTATATTTACAATCTGTTTTTTTTAAACAATATGTAAATTGTATAATTAATATTCAATTAACAGAAATAGCAGTTTTCCAATGAGCCCTGCTATTATATATAACATCTTTTCAGTTTGTTGGATTTATCTATTAGGGATATCGAGAATGTGGTATCTTTTCAGTCTTCCTACTGTTAGGCTATTGTCTAATAGACTTAAGGCTAAATTATTTTCGTGGTTGTGGAGTCTGTCGATGTATTTCTTACTAGTTTTCTATATTTCTTCTTTAATTGTTGGAATATTCAGATCTTTGTGGATGTTTGCATTAGATACGCAAAACGGAGAATTGACAATGTGTCGCAAAGTTTTTGATTGGTAACGCTGAAGTATCTCAATATTTGAGTTGCTAGCAGTTCCCCAAAGCTGTATAGCGTAGGTCCAAACAGGATTCCGTATGGATTTGTAGAGGCGAATTTTTTTTTCCAAAGTGGTTTCTGATTTTCGACTTATCAACCAGGACATTTTTAGTGCTTTAAGTCTAAGTTGTTGACATTTTGCTTTAATGTGGTTTTTCCATGATAATCTGCGGTCGAGATGCAAGCCGAGATACTTCACACAGGTACTTTGTGGAATTGGTGAGCCGTTAAGTGTAACATTTGGGCAGTTACCTGGTCTTAATGAAAACGTTATTTGGACGGATTTCAGGGAGTTTATTCTAATTTTCCATCGAAGGAACCAGTCTTCAATTAGGCTTAGCTCACTCTGCAGGAGTTCAGAAGCTTCATTTATAGATATGCTTGTGGCTAAAACGGCTGTATCATCAGCATATGTTGCAACAGTGCAGTTGTTTGTAACTGGCATGTCGGCCGTATATAGGGTGTAGAGAATTGGTCCTTGTTGGACGCCTGCGTTGATGAGAAGTAGTGATGAATTATCGGTTTTCTGCTGCACGTAAAAGCATCTTCTAGCCAGATATGATTTGATTAATAAATAGAACGGAGCAGGTAGCCATTTCTTTATCTTGTACAACAAACCTTTGTGCCAGACTCGATCGAACGCTTGTTGAACATCAAGAAATGCAGCAGTGCAGTATTTTTTGTTTTTAAATGCCGAAACTATATCATTAAAAACCCTGTGACATTGCTCAGGGGTCCCGTGACCCCTCCTGAATCCGAATTGGTATTCAGGAATGATGGAAAGTTCGTCCAAAATTGGCAACATTCTCTTCAATAGTATTTTTTCAAACACTTTCGAGAAAATTGTCAGCAGACTAATGGGACGGTATGATGTCAATTCCGTTTCTATTTTGTTTGGCTTTAGGATCATAACGATCTCTGCACATTTCCATTAACTTGGAAAGTGGCCTAGTCTGAGAATCGCGTTATATATAAGAGTGAGAAACCGAATGCATTTTGGTGGTAAACTTTTTAGGGTGATACCGTCTATTTTATCAGGGCCTGGTGCTTTTTTATTGTTCAAGCATTTTATTTCTGTCACAACTTCTTTATATTTAATGCTTTTAATAGGCAAGCTCATTTTGCAGGGTGACTCAAGGAATTTTTCTACTTCAGTCTATGTTATATAATTATTTATATCGTTTGGCTGAAACACAGAGTGCAGATGTTGTGCAAATGCTTCCGCTTGTTCATTATTAGACCTACACCAAGTTCCGTTGCTTTTGCTAATATTTATGTTTCTTTTAGCTGGTTTCTTTAGGTATTTAGTCGCCCTCCATAGGTTGTATTCATTGTTGCTGGAATTAGGGTCTAAGTTTCTCAGATACGCAGCTAGAGATTCATTGCGTAAGTTCGACAGCAGTTGTCTAAGCTCAGATGCAGCCTTATTGTACAATCTTTTGTCAGCAGGGTAGTGAGTTTCTTGCCAGCGTTTTCGCAGATTCCTTTTATTTTGTATTTTTTGTCGAAGTTCGGTTGAAAGGTTCAATTGGTTTGGTTGTTGATGATTAAAACCATGATTCGTGTTTCTGTAGCTCGCATTATGAAATGTATTTGTGAAAAGCTCCACAGCATAGTCTATCTCCTCTCCTGTTTTTAACGAAATGTCCAGGCTTATAGCTGAGTCTAAATGGCTTTTAAATGCGTTAATGTCTGTAGAGGCTGTTATTACTTAATAGGGCTTTTCCAACATATGGGCTATTGTGCTGTAAGTTGCTATTATTGGAGAATGATCCGAGTTAAGGTCAAAGCTCTCCATTACTCGCATGTGTGATTGTGGGATTCCAGAGAATACTATGAAATCAATTAAATCTGTAATTTTTCGACTATCTGTGGGCACACCAGTTGACAAAGTAGTTATGTTATTGTTTCGTATGCATTTGTATAACTCCGATCCCTTCGGGTTAGTTAATCTGGATCCCCACCATGGATGTTTGGCATTGAAGTCGCCTCCCACGATAAACTTTGTTCCCAGTCCTCGGAAAAAGTTTTTAAAATCGAGTTCTTTTATTGTGAATCTTGGTGGGAGATAAATCGCTGTTATTGATACATCTGCGTGCATACATTTTACCTGAATTGTGGCAGCCTGCATAGCGTTTTCCCTAGTACTGTCCATGATTTGAAATTTAAGGCCCTGCTTGACAAGAATTGCAGCACCTCCATGCGCTCTATCTGATGGATGGTCAGCTCTTACTTTGTCGTATCCAGTAACTTTAAAAAAAGATTTGCTAGTGAAGTGTGTTTCTGAAATAAGCATGACGTCAATGTCATTCGTTTTTAAAAATAAAGTTATTTCATTTACATGGTTGGAAAGCCCATTGGCATTCCATATTCCTAAGTTTCAATTTATTTGCATAGCTTATTTACAAGTAACATTATCATGTTAAGTAAATTATTGGTAAGTTGAGATTGTTTTTCTAGAAGCTGTTCTATTCTTTCTAGAGACTTTTTCGAGGTACTATTTCCTGCAGCAACTTGAGCGTAAGATTGGTAATCTTTATCTTTTGGGCAAACGTTGCTGGGATGGTTAAGAGAGCATTTCACACATCTGTGAGTTTTGGCACAATATGACTTTGTGTGTCCAAATTCCTGGCAACGATAACACTGAACGATTTCTTTGGTTTTACGGGGTGGTTCTATATTAACAACTGCGTTACCAATGAGTTTAACTTTGTATATATCTAAGTTCTTATTGTTGGGCTCAATGTCTAAGTAGAACAAATTCAATGGCTCTTTGGTTACACGACTTTTAATATTACTAATGTTTCTAACAGCGTGACCTTTGGACTCCACATCTTGTTTGATTATGTCGATATCCGTTGAGAAGTGCAAATTCTTAATAACAACTCTGAATGCCTTCTCAAGTTTAAGTTGGTATGTGTGAAATTTGACAGAATCTTTAGTAAGAGTTTTAACAAGTTTCCTGTATTCTTATAACTCTCACATGACGTCGCGTTGTACTTTATAAAAGAAAAGCTCTTTTTTAATTGTAGTCTCGAGGTAAACTAGCATTCCTTTTATATCACTGACTTCAGATAAGAATATAGGTGGCGGCTTGGCAGATTCAGTTAAGTTATCTTCAGTTATCATGTCCAGTGCTTCGTTTTCATCTTCATTTCCGTTATTTGGCGTGCTGTCGCTTAGGAGGGCATATTGATTGGAGCTGGTTCTGGGTGCTAAGTCCAGAGCGATTTTTTTCTCTAGTAGAATAGGAGAGGCTTGGTTTTGTCTCTTGACTGCCTTTGACTTCAATTTTACTCTCTGCCAGTTCCAAACCGTTGTGTCGTCTTCGTCGTCGTTCATGATAACAACAACACTTTGTTATTGCTTATCAGTAACCACTATTTTGTTTGCTTTTGTTTTGTGAATCGAATAGTACTTTTGCTTTATATTTACGAACTGAAAGTTTTTGCTAAGGCAACTTCGGCTCAAAAATTTACTTTTATTTCCGAAATTTTATTTTAACTTTCTCTCATAGATGTTGCTCCTACGGGCAGCTCCGTTCGACTAAATTCTGATGAAGTTTTGTTTTTCATATATAAACTATAATGAAGTTCTACAGATTCTTGATCGGACTAAGATCAGGACATTTCCAATGCCCGGTTTCCCACCATTGCCATACATTATCTTGCCTTAAAAAACGAATCTATAAAAATCGAGAAGGGACGTGTGAGACGCATCTTACGCGTCACAACTTGTATACCCAGCACTCAGTACTACTTCTGCACCTTAGCGGTGTTTTGTCAAATTTAAAATTTTTTCTTCACCTGTCATATACATCTACAACACTACTCACACCAACAAGCTCCTTTAGCTCGCCCCCCTTCCCTAGACCCACACACTGCAGACTCGCGGCAGAGGCAGAGGCAGCGCCCGCACACAAAAAAAAAAAACAAATATAAGCTGCGGGACGGTGTGGGTTAAAAGTAGGCAGAGCCAGAGGCAGAGGGACGGCAAAGGCAGAGGGACGGCAG